TGTAATGAGCATAAGATATTGAGAGTATTAGAACATACAAATGTTACAACAAAAGCTGCAGACAACATAATGAATAACAAAAACAAGAATATAAGATTATTTGATATTAAGGACTGACAAAGACATAATATCATCTGAGTAGATTCAATTCTTTTCTGGCAATCAGAGTACTTTAAGCACACAAGAATCATGGTAAAGCACTTGCCAAGGGAAAATGAGAAAGAGGATATGCTGTAAGACCTTTCCAAATGTTACCTCAACCAAACTAGAAAAAGCAGAAGGGCAGCCACAGCTTCTTGTTCTATAAATCCTTCAGGTTAAGGGATTTTAATCACTCAAGACAACAAAAACACATGAAGGAAATACATAGAAATGGGGTAACTAGAGGCCGGTCATCTACTGATATCATATTAAAGCTTAATAGAGAAAACATGAGTTAATATTAATATCTACTAGAGAGCACCTTTGAGAGCGACATGCTTAGTAAAAAGCGAGTGCGGAGAAATGCGCAGCAAAACCGCACATAGGAGGAGGCATAATGCAAAGATTTGGGATAGGATCATATAGGTGAATGAGAATTCAACAGAACAGAAACAGATATAAAACAGCAAAACTTTAGTAGCAAGTATTGGAACTGAAAGACAACTTTAAAAAATGACCAAACCTCTAAAAAGGAAAAACAAAAAAATTCAAAACAAAATGTTAAACAATTAATGTTTAAAAGCTTAACAGTCTGCCCCAGTTTTTGCTTTTTCTCCTCAGAATTCGGGATAGTAAATGGATGATAGGACAAAAACACAGATAAAACAGAGGTGAAAATAGAACTCAGCAAAGTTTGACAAAAGGAAAAACACAAACTGAAATGCAATAAATTGTGAGCCAAAATCAAAAATCTTAAAGCCCCTGTTGAGTTTAAGTAAAGACCCTATATTCATAGAAACTGATATGTACATTGTACACAAAATACAATATTATGGGCAGAGCTGTTTCCTTTACAATATTCAACAATTTGACGAGAAAAAGTAGGGCATATGGTACGGTCTTTGCACAATGCACACACAGACACACAAAAAAACTCACGCACAGAAAAGGGGAGAAACAAATTCAAATACAATAAGGAAAACAAAGGAGATGATGCGATGCCATAGTACTATAATAGAGCAATTAACTTGTTAACTCTAATTTTATTGCTGTTGATACGATCTCAGTTGCTCAATTCAGACTTCATTGGGTTCACTGAAATCTTAACCACTGAACTGCACCTCAAGACAAAGCAGAGCAAGGATAACTGCCAGAATGCATAGCAATTTGAGATGTTTATAAAGGTGGCATAAAACATGTAATATAGATCGCAATCAACAACAACAGAAAAATGCCAACATAACTTTAAAACTTTGGAACACAACCTAATTCTTTTAAAACAAATGATGGCCCACCCTTTTTTTGTTACCCACCTTTTAAAATGTTGAATGTCATAGGGGCACCGGGAGACTGCATCTCTAGATGGCAAAAATAATGCAACAAAAACAAAAATAGAGGGGGTCTAGAGACACAAAATCTACAGCACGCTATGGCAGCAGAGTAGCACATAACAGGAGGATACAAAAAGGAAGTAATGGATAGTAAATAAACAATTTCTAGGCTTCTAAAACTGATCAAAGCTACCTAAATTGAAATATTCTTAAATTTCTGGTTTGCTACACAGAGCTGAAATGTAATTATTCCTGAGCAAGACAGGAGCTGTTGGTATTTTAAAAGGCTGCAGGGGGATATTTAAGAAGTCTGGAGATCCAACAATGAAGCATCACAAGAACAAGAAACTATTAAAGGTTTTCCCTTCTCATATCCTCCAGAACTACTCTGGGTATCCACTGCACGAAAGAGCATGACAAATCATTCCAGTCAAGATGGTAACACAAAAAAAGTACCAGGAGTACTGGCTATGGACACACAGGGATAATGAAGGTATACCAGTGAGGTCATGCTCTTGCACACAACTGGAAACCACGTCAAACATAAACATTAGTCTGTACAAAAAAGTGACAAGGAAGTCACTTATTTCTTAAGATGAATCTTTGAGATGATCATAATGTAATGATGATATAAAACAGACTAAATTAGGTTCTAATGTGAGACTGAGAAAAAAGTATTAGTAGCATTATACAAATCCTATACAAAAAAAATAATAATAATAATAATTAAAAAATAGACCTACACTATAACTCAAATTTTGTGCATTTTCTAATTCACAAAAACTAAACAGTGCATGTGTTTAGAATAAACCAGATCACTGATGAAAAAGTGCACATCTGAAACCACTGATTGTGATAGAAGGTAAAGTCAGAAATAAAGAAAGCGTAACATAAAGATAATCCCACACAACAATAAACCAAGCTGTTAATATACCAAGCAAATCCTGGGGTGAATTGAAACAGTTATTTAAGTGAATCAAGATAACAAACTGAACTTATAGGCTAGAAGTTGTTCTTTTTAATTACCTTCATAACTTCAATTCAGATAAAAATCTTTTCTCAAAATTTGAGTAAAATTTAACTTGGAAACTTTACCCATCTTTACCCCACCAATAAAACAAACTTGATTGGATAATATTGCAGGCTTTTGTTAAGAGAGAAATGGACCCCATTACACTACGTATCCCGTTTTTTGGGTGCATTTTTTTTGTTGCTATGTTGGAACTGAAGATAAAAGAGTTTAAAAATTCCAGGACGGATAAAAAATATCTCACTATCACTGCATGGAATATATTGACAAACAAAACACATTAAAATTAGTGTTAGAATATCAATGTTAATTTTAAAAAGCAGTATAATTTATTCTTCCTATGGAGCATAGCAGTAGAGGATTGTTACTTTCCATACATATGAAAGATGTTCATTGAGGTAAGACAATCACCGAAAGAGAAGTATAAAAGCAAAGAAAATCTGCTACAGACTGCCAAGGAGCACTAAAAGTTATGAAGATTGTCACATCAAATTCAATTGATTACTCTCAATGTAGAGCCTGAAGCAAATAGAAAGGATCCCATGCATCAGACATTTCTCAAAGCAAGTGCGCTATTCCGTCTTTGTATCTGAAAAGCAACAGTAATCAATGCAGTCTAGGAGGGCCTTAAACTAAAATGAAAAGTTCTGATTGACTCACGATTGGAGCCCATGGCTGGGCTGGTCATTGCTATTGTCTTGTAGTTGCCGGGTAGAGCCATTCTGAAGTTGGATTCCTGAAATACACGACAAAAGTTAGTGATGCTAGAAGTCACAGGCATACTGTTTGGCAAATATGATGAAACAAGTATGTCTCTTGAAATACTTGCAACACCAAAATTAAATACAGGAACCAATTGACGATTTTTATGTCCTACCATGGAATGATATGAAGAGTTCGACATAAATCCTACAAAGCTTGAGGATTTTACGATGTGGGCGAGGAACTCAGTAAATAAAACGCATAACCTCAACCAGTACCGCACAACAGTGTGATCGATATATCAATGAGCTGGTCCCGTAAAAGCGTGAAATAGAAAACGAAAAGTTAAGACGTGCAGTAAATACCTTATTCGGCTAATGTTTAAAGAGGAAACTTTTAATGTTTTTATTATTAAACTGTAGGCCAACAAAAATAAGGGAGGCGTCAGCGTCAGTAAGACTAACGTCGCTCATCGAAAAAAGAGCCCACATAAGAACTCAAATTTGTTTACAGTACTTACACAGGGTTATTTACAACAGGTAAAACCGAAAGTTTACATTAAAAAGTACTTAAACTACTCCATAAGGACTTTATTGCAACAGAAACTCAACACACAAAAAAATCCGCCATCATGGACGCGGCAGTGGTGTTTGACCCGGCTATCGAATGTGCCTCGAACACTACTTCGATAGATCGAATAGAGTTATCGGAGGTAAAAGCAAAGGCGGCAATTTGAAAACTTTCTTAATTTTTTCTACAAAAGAAGACAGCCCGCTAGCCCGCATCGGCCGTCGCGAGAACGAGATACTTGCAAGACCAAAGTATTGATCGCTGGGACGACTACAGGAGCTGGCATACGGCGTACAACCTATTTTTTCTAAGCGGGGCTGGGTCTCGGGACTCGCCGGCTGACCTACGGCAGTGTTTACGTCACGGCGATCGTCTGCTAGTACACAGCTGGCTCTACACACAACAGTCAAAGGGTCAAAGTCGCACTAGTAAAAGGGTCCGGGCAAGCCGCGAGACCACGCGAGACTTTCCACCAGCTTCGAACTGCATTTTTGGAGGAACCATCAAATATCAAAATATGCCTGTGCAGAAGCCATATTGACCGTTTCTCAGCCGTGTGTGGTGCATGCGCGCATAGTTTTTCTAACCTGGTCTGGTAGCCCAAAAGCACCCAGAATAAAGTCAGTCTCGCGATGAGCCCCGAAGCCCTAGTGTTTTATTTACTGCTGTCCGCTATGCTGCGGGGCCTCCGAGACTCCAGAGGACGGCGCGGTAGACCTCAAGCCGTTGTTGCTATGCTGGTGGTGAGTAAAAACAAAGTAGCTCTTTGGTCTCGATTGTGTGTGTGTGGGGGGGGGGGGGTTGTATTTTACTGCCATAATGTAATCGAAGATTTGTTTGTCACTCTCTCTCTGACTAGAATGGGGGGGGGGGGCAGGGGGCAGGCACCAATGCTGGGTCCAGAATACTGATCCCCACACCTCCCCCCCTTCCAAAAATGTGCGCGTCACTAGGGCTCCGTCCGAATTCTCATCAGTCCGGTTCGTTTCGTTTCCTTTCGTTTCATTTGTGGGTGAGGGGGGGTGAAGAAGACCCCCTTCTTCAGCCCCCTCACCCACAATAGAAACGAAAGGAAACGAAACGAACCGGACTGATGAGAATTCGGACGGAGCCTAGTCGTACGATCGGGTAGTCGGTCGGTCTGCCAATTCTTGATAACCCTAATAGATATCGTGTATCGTGCCCTTCATGTAGTTTTTCACATTTACTTTTTCCCCGTTAGGTGGAAGCCAGCCTACACGCCCACGCAGCGCTGTACCCAACACTGAGCTTCAAGGCGGGGCTGCTGCTGGGCCCGGAGCACGCCTGTCACCAGGACACCCTCGTCCTGCAGCGGGCGCTCAAGAACAGGACGGTGTGGGCGGAGCGAAGTAAGTCCTACCCAATGAATCTGGTCGCAGGTTGTAAGTTTTCGCGTTCGCATTACGCACTGCCTTTTACTGCCCTACCCTCCCCCCAGTGGTGGACGCGAGCGCCCGGGGCGTCGTGGGCGGGCTGTGGGGCGCACGCTTCCACCTGGGCAGCTTCGACGCCTGTTTGTCGACGGGGGCGGTGTCGCCCGTCGGAGCACGCTACTGCCTCGCTCAACTATCGTCCCCTGCTCAACCCGCACCACTCCAGACCCAGTCGCAATCTCACATCCGCCCCCACTTCCGGAACCGGTACCTGCCTCCTCCGCCCTGCGAGGAGCAGGTCGCCCATTGGGACCAGGTGACAGGCTTGGACCCCGAGAGCAACGTGCTCCACGCCCTGCAGGGTTGTGGCATTGCCCCGGGATCCATCCCCCTCGGCGAGGTCCTGGTGGCGCTGTGCGTGCCCGAGTCCTGCGGCCACGCCCCCCTCCAGGACGCCCTCGCGACCGCTCTGCACCACTCCGCGTTCGAGGTGCGGGTGGCCGAGGAGCACTGCGTCGGCGCCGTGGAGTTGCACGCCGCTCCTACGGACGTTCCTGCGACTCTCTTCTGGTCAGTGCCTCTTTGCGTGCTACGCGTGACACATTTAGGGCTCTGTGGGTTTCGGCAACCGGTCTGATCTTGGTCTGATCTGCACAGGGTACTCGTCGCGGGCCTCAGCCTCGCCGTGGTCCTGGCGCCGTCGCGAGGTAAGCCTGCCGCTCTGCAGTATGCCGCCGGTTCCGTGGCCGTCTTGTGATGGTCTTTGTTGTCGACAGGCTGGTCGTGGTGGGACTGGCGCGCGCACGGCCGCGCCCTGGCCCTCCCCGAGCCCCTTCTGGCGGGGATGGACCTCAACGCGGTGTCGGGCCTCCGCGCCATCAACATGCTCCTCATCCTGGGCTCGCACAGGGCCTTCAACTCGGCGAGGCTGCCCACCGCCAACCAGCTCATCAACACAACGGAGGTGAGCTTGAGCAGGGGGAATGAAAACAACGAGGCGTTCCACCGCGAAGGCCCATGATGCACCCCCGCCCCTCATGTGTCCGCAGTCCCGCACCTCGCTGTGGCACGCGCTCGGCCACCACGCCGCCCTGCTCGTCGACACGTGCTTCTTCCTGTCCGGCCTGCTCATGGTGCTGGCCGCCAGGCAGCGCCACCCGCGCCCGCTGCGCGCCCTCGTCAACAGGTACCTCAGGTGAGCCCGCAACAACCATACTTGACACCATCATGAAGAAGTTCGACTCGCCTCCTGCCGCCGCGGCCCCAACTTTTGCGACAGCGCAGCTGCAGCAGGCAGCCACACCACAAACCACAAACATGGGTTGGTTTGGCACGGTGTGACGCAAGCTTGGTGCTGCTCTTCCTTGTCATTTCGCGCCGCGCCGCGCTTGGCCGGGGAGGGGGAGGGGGGGA